GCCCAGTTACCGGAGCCGTTGGGGCCGATGATGCAGGTGAACCTCTTGAAGGGGCCGATGATCTGGCGGCCCCGCCACGACTTGAAGTTCTCCACGACCAGCACCTCCAGGAAGCCCATGGCGGCAGCCTCCTCGCCTCAGCCGCGTCCTCACGCTCGGCGGGAAAAGCGCGGGAAGAGCCTCTCCAAGTCTCGCGAGGCTGAGACGGCGGGGAGCGCAGCGCCGTTCCTTAGCAACCAACCAGAGTTGGCGTTTCTGCACCCCGTGCGACGTGCTGGAAAGCGGGTCTGAAAACCGAGGTGAGGACTTGCATCCCACCGGCACAGCCCCCTAGGGAGCCAGCCTCTTCAGGGCCACAGCTTGCTTCATTTTTGTTGTCTTTTCTTCTTATTTTGCATCTTGTAAAAATCGCTTAGCATTTCCTGTCAATTCCACAGCCANTTTTCTTCTTATTTTGCATCTTGTAAAAATCGCTTAGCATTTCCTGTCAATTCCACAGCCACGGAGGTGGCCCTGCCTAGGGACCTGGAGCAGCAGGCTAGCCTGGCCAAGAGGAGGCACGTGGAGCTGTGCAGGCAGCGACGGATCTTCAACACCAGGAACAGGATCGTCGGGGAGAAGGGGCCTGAGAGGGCGAGGGAGGCAGACGGCGGAAGAGGGGAGGGGATGACCCTTAAAATGAAACTTCTGGTCCAGCCACAGCAGTAAATGGCACCAGGTTTTGTCGGGGTGTGGGGATGGGAGTAGAAGGAAGAGTTCGATGTATTGACTTTGTTGAAGATGGGGGAGAAGCTCACAGGCCGAATAATGCACCCTGTCACCTGCCAGGAGGACACATGGTGGCCTGGAGCTGGCCGGGTGCTTGTCCGGAGTTAGTGGCAGACAGAGACTAGAATGCGGTTCTCCCCACTTTGAGTCAGACTTTCTACATTGCCTGGGGTGCCTTCGAGTCCGTTCATTTGACACATGCTGGTGGAGTTCTTCTTTTGTGGCAAGTCAGAGCCGGGTTGTGGAGATGAGGAGTAAAAGTCCCTGACCTTGCAGAGTTCATGGCTCGGCAAAGGAGGCGGGCACTGAAACGGTCACATTAAAATCAGGGGAATCAGTGCTGTGAGGGAGGGGGGCACTGGGATGCCACGCCACAGAGACTGGGGTTGGGAGGGGAAATCAAAGCAGCCTTCCAAGAGGAGGTGATGCCTACACATGTTCTGTTAACCAGGAGTGAGGGGGAAGGAAGCTCTGGGGAAAACTGAGAGTTTAGGCTGAAGAAAAAAATATAAGCAAAGGTACCCAAGTATGAAAAGGCCTGATATGGTCCTAAGACAACGTGTTTATAGTGGGGCAAGGCCAA